GTTTTACTTATTGACATCACATGTCACTACAGTTCTTTCTTACTGACTTCACTGCATCATTCTCAAGTAACATTATAAAAGGTATTATGTTAACTGAAGCATTCCTAGGTTACTAACTCTATTGTACAAAATATAAATAAATTGCATTTCCTACTTTTGTATTCCATTCCAAAACAATTTTTCTGAAATCTAAGGAATTGCTAAGAGTTAAGGAAGCCTTCCACATATTTCAAATCCCATGCATTCTGCTGCATGAGTTTTACTACCACAACACGCCATAGATGATTTGGAGACAGAATTGCTTCAGTACAAATCAAACCAAACAGGACAATCCAAGGATCATAGCAATAGTTTCGACAGCAAAAGTATTTACAAAGAAGCTGTACTCTGCAGTAGATGCAAGCAACAGAACAAATGTGAAGACAAAATACTGAATGCATTCAAATTTCATTTAGAATTCTAGCATCACTTACTTTTACTTACATTACAATTACTTTACGCTAGCAATCTATAATAATCAACAACAAAAGGACAACTGAAAAGTCATAGCTCTTTAAGAAAAACAACCATTCCATAAAGAAAAGTCTAGTAGCTTACACCATCTTGCAGGTGACCATTCTGAAGGCTTAAGTTCTCTCTGACACACAAGCACACACTCAAGTTGCTTCCTTTAATTTTGTTTCTGCCACTCTGCACATCACCATTCTCTTCAGCAGAACTGTGCCTTGGACAATAACCTTACAATAAAACACGAAGAAATGAAGAGCAGCTGCTCCCCTGCAAAACTCACAGAAATGCTTTTATCTGGGAAACACAGAGGACAAGAATGAATGTAATCACGTTTTACACTGCAGTGCCAAAGTTATTACCTTACTAACCTTGTAGGCGCATATTACAAAAATCATCCATTTATGTTACAGGGAATTACTTAGCACTGGGAACACAATACCTGAAATGAATTTCAAGTGGCAAGACCATCATTAATCATACTTTCTCAACATTAATGCCATGGAACAAAGCCTTCTGCTTCACTGCTTGAAAGCACAGGTGTTTTAGGAAGAAAACGTTTAACAGATGGTGCTATGCGTGCCATACCTGAATAGAGGTTCTTGGAATATATGGCATATACAAACCAGAAGACCATGCTTGACAAACGTTTTGTTTTAAAAGACAAATCATTACAAATATTGGTAAAAATGAAAGCAACGCCATCAATATTTCTAACAGTTTCAAACATTGATCCCAAGAACAGAGAGGAATAAACAAAAAACACATCAAAATTGGAAAAAGCCAGTGAAGCCTTTGTGCTAAAGCTCCAAAATCTAGTAAATTGACTTGCAGACATCCGAACAAATTAACAACATCACTCTGCAACATAAAACCATGCTCTTAGCAAGTTAAGAAGAAATGCATGCTATTAAAATTGTATTGTAACACACGCCAGTAAAATCATATACAAAATTGTACATCCTATTAAAATGGTATTTATCAGGACTAGAATCTCAATTTCTTAGAGTACTGGAGTTTATTTTTTTATTTAATTTCATTTGCAGAAAGTTTAATCTTACATCACATTCTCACAAAATATTTTCACAAAAGCAACTTACTGCAGTGGATTTATAATACAAAGACCAACCAAGCTGTAACTTCAACTGATAACCATAGGATGGGGGAATCATGGCTGTGTTTAGATCTGACAGCCCTACTGAAAGACCGCTGTCAGGCTCTGATTGTAACGTACAGCCATTGCTAACAAAAATAATTGCAGATCTTTGCAAAGTACTCTTTAAACTGACAATGAAAGAACTCATGTAAAATGGGACTGTTTACGTTCAGAAGCATTTGTCGATCTGCAAACAAGTTATGTTTAACAAGCACTAAAACCTAAAACATTCTTTGAAGAGTAACACTGTAACTGTAACATATTAAGATAAAAAAAAGACATACACAATCCTAGAATCTGTAAGATGGTTTGAGTTGGAAGGGACTTTCAAGATCATTTAGTTCCTAGTTCTGCCACAGGCAGGGACACCTCCCTCTACACCAGTTGCTCAAATGCCCATCAAGCCTGGCCTTGAAGGCCTCCAGGGAGGAGGCATCCACAACCTCACTGGGCAGCCTTTGCCAGTGTCTCACCATCATCACAGTGAAGGATTTCTTCCTTAGAATTAATGCACAACTACCCTCTTCTGGTTTAAAGCCTCACCTCACTGAGGAGCATGAAGCCCCACTGCCAGCACCTTGCTAAGCACACAAAATAGACAGGTATAGTCATGACTGCTACTGTTTTTTAATAACCAAATATAGCATTTCACATGCTCAACCTAAAAACATGATCTATAAAAAGGATTTTCTGTTCAACCACACAGGAAGACAGCCTATATCTGACACTAAGTACTAAGTAGTACTACTGTTCAAAAAACCTTAAATGCATTTTCAAAGATAATGTCATTTCTGGGGATGAGACATGGTGTGGCAGCTCTCACTAAACACTGCAACAGATCCACCATGTGAGAGATATCAGCCAACCCTACAGCCAGTTCAGCTAACTACACAGACTGAAACTGCAGAGGCCAAAGGTTGCTCAGCATAAACTCCAGTCCAAACAAGTTACAAAACTGCCAAAGCAGCATTAAGTCAAACCAATGATTCAAAAGCCTCTTCTTTTCCCTTTTGTGCCACTTCTGTACTTTTTTTTTAAAAAAAACAACCTTTCATTGTGCAGTACAGAGTTTAACAGAGCTGTGATATTGGTCTGACATTCCGAGCAGCATCCCTAACCCACACCTTCTGTGGAGAATCTCCTGATTTCAAGAAATCAGAGGTTAAAACAACTATCCACAAAAAAGGACATTTAACACTAGTAATAATTTCAAAACCGAAGTTCTCTATGTCACTATAACTGAAATTAACATCAAATGCAACATAACATTACTGCAGAAAAGTGTGTTTGCTTAAACTCAGTAGAATTCTCATGAATTAAATATAATGCAATTTGAATTAATAAAAGTTTGCTTTATGTTATAAAAAATTGTAGAGCTAATCTAAAATGTACAACAGAAAATATTTATGCTTTCTACTGTTTAGTCATTATTAGACAAAATTATTTACCAATGAATGGGTGAGAGAAAACAGAGAGAAGGTCTTTACATGATTGATTTCGCACAAATAACGAACTTCAGTTGTATGTGCAACCATCAAGGAGGCTCCCAAGAGTATTGACTCCCCCTGTGACAGAGCTTTGAAGAACAGATGCATAACTGAAACATTAGACTTGTTTTTAAAAAGGATGAAATATATATGACTGCTTCACAGGGCTGACTAGTAAGCAAGTGAAGCATAAATGTGACCAAAATTAAATTGTGCCAGTGACAATGGCATAGAATCATAGAATGGCCTGGGTTGAAAAGGACCACAATGATCATCTAGTTTCAACCCCCCTGCTATGTGCAGGGTCGCCAACCGCCAGACCAGGCTGCCCAGAGCCACATCCAGCCTGGCCTTGAATGCCTCCAGGGATGGGGCATCCACAGCCTCCTTGGGCAACCTGTTCCAGTGCGTCACCACCCTCTGAGTGAAGAAGTTCCTCCTGATATCTAACCTAAACTTCTCCTGTCTCAGTTTAAAACCATTCCCCCTTGTCCTATCACTATACACCCTTGTAAACAGCCATTCTCCCTCCTGTTCATACACTCCCTTCAACGTAAAGCCTTTTAAAAAGTATGTACTATGAGGTATTCACCATTTTCTGAAATGCCAGTATCAAAAGCATTCATTTTATCATTTCATTCACATTTCATTATTCTTCCTGTAGAAACCTGGCTAGAACCACTCCATAACACACATGTAGGCAGAGGGCTGAGCCAGCAATGTAGTGGGCAACGTGATGAGGCAAGGCCCACACCCCAAAATCTCAGTGTTTTGGTGACCTAAGAACAGTACCTTTAGCATTAGTGTACCTCAGATTATAACAGCTTCAGAGCACCTTAAGAAGAGAGGGTTATTAAATAATTGCTGTATATGGATAAGTCCTTCCAAAAACGCATGCATGCAATTTCTTGGGATAGCACCAAAGAACCTCCCAGAAGCACAACAACACATCACAGCACACATAATCAATAACATCACTCAAAGAACTGTTAGAAAAGAGCTTTTCTTTATCGCTGAAGAACTAAACCACTGAAGACAACTATAGACAAAGAAAGATTCCTCATACCTACATGTCTGAAAGACCATCTTTTAACTATATTCAGAGTGCTTTGTCATTTAGAAGCTTGTAACAGCCAGTCCAAAAGCCAAGACTGTTTGCCAGAGGCAAACTGTCTCACAAGAGATTAAATACTACCCAGAGAAGACAAGCCAATCTTTAGAAATATCATTTGAGTCTAATTTGCATTATCACAATATTATGGTATTTAATCATCAAATCTTAATAAAACAAAGACTGTGCAGTGATGACTGACTTGTAAACCCTACGAAGATTCAAATATAATAAATCTAGCAATTCTTACAATGATCTCTGCATTATTACCAATTTACATACAGTGTTAACCACAGACATCCTCTGATACTTCAGCATTCATACAATGAAGACCTATTTTTGCTTGACAACCTCAAACTTAGTACTGCTTCTCCTTACTTTAGTTCTCACTGACAGAAGAAGAGGGGGCACAGAGAACTTCTTTAAAAAAGAAAGTTGCAAAACCTCACTGAAAGTATATGAAGATATAAAAACAGTCACGTTACTCTTTATGTAGGAAAGCTTTTAAATCCTCTAGTAAAAATTATTTACAGTGAGCATCGTACGTATCATAAATGTCAATTAAAATTAAGAAACACTCAGCTTACTAATGAGGGTCTTTTTGTTTGCTTGCTTTTAGCTATGTGAGCACTTCTCATAGGTAAAATCAAATTAATAAATTTAAAAATCAAAATAGCTTCTGTTTCAAGAGTGTCATTAAATGCCACAAAATTAATAAGAATGAAGCTTGAACACTTACCGCCAGTGCTTTAGATAAGTTTTTTCTATAGTTATTCAAAACAATAGCATCAATGTCCTTAACTGGCACAAATGCAAAGCCATCTTTAATAAACACTCTTCTTGCTCTAAACAGATCAACAGCATCTGACAGTCCAACCTGGGAAAGGGGAAAAAAAAATAAATCAAACCGTGAAACAGCAAAACAGTGCAGTAACAATTACTACAACCCTAAGATTCAAAACAGACCAGCGAGGCTTTAAGTTATTCTGTGTCCTTTAATAAAGCTCCAGGGAAAGCACAAAGATTCCGGAAGCAAACGCCGACTTCATTTATAAAAACTTATTTACTTACAGTATCTAATTCTAAGGACATGTAAGTAAGCCAGGCAAAATGAAATACCTTAAAATTTCTGTCTGTAACAACCTAGCCTGATCACATAGCTTTTATCACTAACTGATTTGATACTTAAAACTAAGCTTCTGTAAACCTTCAATTTCAGACATCTCAAATTTTTTTGTTCTTGCAAGCTACATATAAAAGGCCTTGGAAACAAAAATGGTTGAAATCCATCCATCAGCAGGCTATACTACATATGTCTTTCTTCTCTTCTTGCTTGCTACCAAAAAGCAGTTCACACTAACACAGTCAAACTAAATCTAGTTTTAGATATTTGAGAAAGTATCCATCCTCAAAGTCTGTAAGCCAGTTAAGCCAAATGATTTGTCTGGGAGATGTTAAAACTGAAGATCTTTTTCATGGCAAGATAAGGGACAACAGAAGCCATTAATGACAGCTGAAGCTCCCTTCATACTCCCAGTCCCTCCTTCTACCCTCCTACCTATATAATAAAGAGGAACTCTCATTAGTCTCAGTATAATAATAGTAAAACCTTAAAATAATTTTGAAAGAGAAATAATGCAAATTTGCAGCATATTATTAATTCCAACTTACCTTATAGAACATTTGCTCTTTTACTTTAGTCATACTGAGGCCAGGAGTTGACATATACAGTTCATTTGCCAATTCATTTTTCAGGTCTTCACTAATCTAAAATAAAGAGCTAGTTTAAAAACCTCCAAAATACTTCAAAAATACATATATATATTTTTAAAAATAAGCTAGATGATGACTTGGTCTGTAAATATGTGTATGTGTAATGCTATAATACTATAATGAGATGAAAAGTAGAATCATAGAATCGTAGAATCAGTCAGGTTGGAAAAGACCTTAAAGATCATCGAGTCCAATCACAACCTAACCATAGTACCCTAACTCTAACAACCCTCTGCTAAATCATGGCCCTAAGCACCACATCTAAACGGTTTTTAAATACATCCAGGGATGGTGACTCAACCACCTCCCTGGGGAGCCTATTCCAGTGCTTCATGACCCTTTCTGTAAAGAAGTTTTTCCTGATATCCAACCTAACCTTTCCCAGGCGCAACTTGAGGCCATTTCCCCTCATCCTGTCACCTGTCACCAGTGAGAAGAGACCAACCCCGCTCTCAGCCTGGTGAAGGCTTCGAGACGACCTTATAGAGGCCTTCCAGTACCTGAAGGGGGCCTACAGAAGAGCTAGGGATGGACTTTTTATAACGACAGGTAGCAACAGGACAAGAGGAAGTCACTTTAAACTGGAAGAGGGTAGATTCAGACTAGATATTAGGAAGAAATTCTCTACTGTGAGTGTGGTGAGACACTGGAACAGGCTGCCCAGTGAGGTTGTTAATGTCCCCTCCCTGGAGGCATTCAAGGCCAGACTGGATGGCGCTTTGAGCAACCTGGTGTAGAGGGAGGTGTCCCTGCCTATAGCAGGGGGTTGGAACTAGATGATCTTAAAGATCCCTTCCAACCCAAACCATTCTATGATTCTATGATTCAACCCATGTTAACTTGGAAACATCACATACACATTAGGGTCACACATGACTGAAGAGTTAAAGGAAAATTCTTATGAGAAACACAGCAATAAGTTTTCTTCCATTTATAAATCAAAAAAAGACAAATTATACAGAAACTTGTTAACAAATGTTAAATTTTAAACATTTATTTAGATTCAATCATTGGATTAGCAGGAGAGAGTATTTGTGTTTGCAGAGGATTTTATGATGCTTACAGCCAAAACACCAACCAGTAAATGATACCTGCAGTACAATTATTTACTGTATAAACCATCCTATCAGCTTTCACGGTGCTATGCTAAAAGGAACAAAATAAACATTTCCAAAGTTACTGCATTCACTGCTATGTGAAGAATAAACTCATCATGGAAACTCTTAAACTCAACCACAAAATAAACTTAACACGTTGATTATCATTTATTTTCTTCTTGAACAACATATGGATATCATGTCATGGTTTTGTGATTTTTGGTTTTCAGTATTCCACATCATAACATCATGTGGGGCACTGGGAGTTTAACTGTTAATGCTCAAGTTCTGGGTACCTGCCCAGAAGAGAAGAACTACATTCCCCCGGGGACTTTGCAGTCACACAGAGGAGACATAACTCCTGGCAAGGTCACCTGATGCGCTCTTCTTCGTCTGCTCTTCTTCGTCAGCTCTCCTCCTGTCTCCCTGCTGCTCAACTGCACTGCGCATCTCACCTCAGCGTTGTGGTGAGGCCTATCCACCTTTCGGACATTCTCTCTCTCATTACATTTGATTTATTATCTTCAATTTTAATTATATTGTATTATAGCGTGTAATCTTGCATTCCAATAATATACTTAGTAAATTAGTTTGTTTCTCCTCAGATCATTGCCACTGCTTTTAATTATTTTGGGGTCCCCTGTGCCCTTTTTCCAGAGGCGCGGATTTTGCAAAATCCCTCCACCCTGCTAGTCACGGAACCGGGCCGAAACAACACTTAAACCATTGACATATCATTAGGAGGAAATAATTAAGTAATATCAGTCCTCCCAGTTTTCTCTTTCTTTATGGCCAAAAAAAAAAAGAAGGAAATATTTGTAGAAAAAGAAAGGACACTTGATGAGACCATCCTTCTTGTCCATAGTAAGTTTCTTCCAAAAAAATCTCTAATTATCAATTGCTAAGGACTGAGGATCCACAAGGACTTGCTATTCTTTCATCATTTTCAAGTTATTAGATAAATGGTACTTAAGTGTAACCTCGTCAACCACAGAATGCTAGAGCATGTTAACACAGAACTAGTGCCTCTGACCATTCCACCTCTTCTAGCATCAGCTGAAGACCAAACACCAATTCCCACAGAATGGCCAGCTGCCATTTCACATCACTTTAGAAATCCAAGGTTACAGCAGAACATGAAGCAGTTCAGAATACTCTGAAACTGTCTCATTTTTTTCAGCTTGATCAAGCCTAAGAATGTTTTTACTCATTAGCTCATTCCTATAGCAGTCATTCTGCAATTTTTACTTCCAACTACATGACCTTTTCAAAGCAGGAAAAGAACATATACTCAAAGCTGCAAGAGTGTGTGTAGTATCCATTATAGAAGAAGTCAACCTTAGGTAAGATCTTCACAGTCTGCTTTAATTCAAATGATGAATTGTACAAAACTATTTTAGTATGAATCATAGTCCCCTACCCCACTAATGGGGGCATGAGTAACTTAAGTGTACAGTTCACATTTTAGTTTGACTTTAATTAGCTTTTATTGGTTAAAATTGACTTGTGAAACTATCTTACATAGGCCCATTTAGATTTCTGCAGATAATCAGCATCTGTTGCTAATCAAACTGAGATGATTACTAAATTAAAACTTTTAATTAGAATTTTGCATAATTCACATAAACTGTTGTTCATTGTGTTTACGAAGGTGAAAAGGGACATCCCCAGTAGCTATATGTTATTCAATCACATTCATTCCTTAGTTAATTCCACAACTTTACATTACAGCACCATATGTTCAAATAAATACACAACTAGAACTACTGCAGCAAAAAGCTTATTTTTAATCATGGAGAAAACTAAGTCATGCTTCTAGTTCAAGGGTCCATTAAGGAAGGGTAAATAAAGATCTCAGGCCATCCATCCTCTTGGCACATGAAATAAGTGCACATTCTCCCCTCCTTCCTTTCAACTATTCCACCTCTTAGATATATGAGACATGCCTATATTTTTCTACGAATCAAGCTTTATTAAAAATTGCTGTAAGAAAACACTACGATCAGCTTAAACTCTATTAAAAATTCGCATTAAAATGTTTAAAGTTTGCTCCAACTCCACATTCCTTATAATGCTCACTCATTAAAAAAACAACCTAACATTGCTTTGAAGTCAGTCCAAACCCTTTAAGATCAGCTAAGAGCAAAGCTTAAAGCCAGTCAATTTCCAAACTGCTTTGGAAATACCATTGCTTCAGCATTCCTTAGCAAACAGACCTGCCATTTGGCCTACCAAGCCCCAGGTCTGCAGTACAAGAGCCTGAACCTCCTACTGGCTGAGTAGAACCCACTCTGCCAATTGTTTTGAAAGAGGGCTCCTGGGGACTTTCCCTAATACCTAAGGCCTTTTTTCCTTTGTCAGGGACAAAAATATATTTATTTTTTATTTTTTAAAAGAAACAACCTATTTTCTCTGCAGCGAAGAGGGCACTTGGTTTCACTTGAATGAAATCAAATCCATCTTCCAAAGCTTGAATGATTAAAAAGAAATTTATTATTTCCTTTGAAAATAAGTACTTTAGAGTGAGTAAACCTGTTACCTGTTACACTTTAAGTGCTGATAGTATATATTTCATTGTGTTTCTTAAAACTCTAGCACTTAAAATTAACTAACCTTCAAGTAAGCCTTTCCATGCAGAATTTATTTCTATTACGACTTTAAGCATACAACCAAGTGGCAGAACACATCTTTTTAGCTTAAAATGATAATAAGGCCCTATTTCCCACTTATGCATCCTTTCTGACCTTTACTGTCATCTATAAGACAAGTATTGTTGGTTTTCAAGCAAACGAAAGATTCAAGGAGGAGGAAACAAAGATAAAATTCAGAACCACTTTCTTCATAAGTGCAAACTGAAAGCTCCCTTGAACACAGCAACTGTTCTACCTTGATGCAAGCTCCCGTACAATAAGTTTAGGTCTAGACAGTTCCTGCTTTTAAAAAGTTTTCTTCTTCATTTCCCAAGCAGGGTGAAATGTTAAAGTTTGTATGGCAGAGGATTGAAATAAACCCAAACAGAAGAACAGTATGGTTTATACACTTGGCACTGAAGAATTACAGCCATGGCCTTTTAGTGAACAGACAGTGTCAGGTATTTACTTTCACCTGTGTCTCTTTTTCAGGACACAAACCTGTCCTATTCTCATTAATCCAAATCTGACTTCAGGATTTTCCATACCTTCTAAAAAGGCAGTCAAAGCATTTTTTCAAGAAGCTACACTACAAATATTTATACAACTGCCCCACCACTGAGATAAATGCTTACTGAAGAAAAAAGCATAATAGTTATATCAGAAAGTCTCTCAAAGGAGTGCTCTGATCATAAAAATGGAAATTAAACTTTAATTTCTAGCACTTAAAGCTGCTAAAATAAAAAGTATTTTAACTGCAACATCAAAGAAGTGCTACTGTGAAAAAAATTAACTCCACTAATGAATTCTGCTTGTTCCTTTTATTTTGCAGTTCATACTCTTCCATCCCAAATGCTAATAGATGCAGTACAGAGCATTAGCTCCCCCAGCTGAATATTCCCATCTGGTGTTCTTTCCCCATGACTGTGATACAAAGTATTATATTAAAGACAATCCATTTCATAGCAGCAATAAAAAAATTAAGATAGTTTATTTTCCAACAACTGGCAGCTACCCAAAAAAGATGACATCTAACCTGGAAGCTGTAATATTTTTTTTTAATTTCAAGAGGCTTTTCAGCTGTAAAGACTTCTAAGATAATTCAAATAGGATCTTTTATGCTCTGTGGAGAGGTAACACTAACAGAGAAAAACACATTCAAGAAAAAAATATGCTGCACTTTGAAGTTTCTCTCTCTGCAATGTGCAGAATAGAAAAGAACAGAAGCATTACACGGAATCCAAATTCAATTATACATCATCTTACACAGCAGATTAAGTCATGATAACTCAACGCTTATTTCTTGTGGAAGCAACAAGGAACTGTGTCTGCTTCAGGAAAAAGCTAACAATCCAAAGACAAGTTGGAAAAAGTGTCAAAGAAGAACAGATCAACCAAGACAATCAACAAAATGTAAAGCTTTATCCCAAAATTGTATTTCAGTGACATTTTATTCCATGCTCCAAGGTATCAAATTTAATTCCTGGAAAAATATATCAACAAATCAAAGCATCTGATAGCAAAAACAAAAAAGCACGGCACACATGGATATGCCAAAAAACAACCAGTACTAACCCAATCTCACTGCCTGACAGTACAACAGCCCTCTGGGACAGAAGAAAATGATCTCGTTTTGTATCAAAAGCCTTTAAAGTCATTCACATAAGACACTTTCAGAAGCAAATAACTAAGCAGTTCAAAGACAGCAGGACATGTCAAAAAGCAGAGACAAAGCTCACTGCTAAAAGTTACAGCACAAAGCAGGACCCAGCCATAACATCAGCTGACACCAAACGGGCCATAAAGCATCACCTGACAGAAATCAAACCAGCTACTCCTAAATTAAACAAAGGAAAACATCAGATGCCCACCGCTTGTAGCAAGAAAGAAAAACTCATTTTGCAGTTTACTCCTTAAGTGCCAAGCTGTTAATGTACCTTCCCAGTGTTGAAACGCTTTGAGACTAACATATCTCCTTCCATGATTATAACACTGAAAATATCAGGGTATTTCCCTTTAAATATCTTTAAAATAGATTAATGGCTTTTGCTGTCAGAAACTGACAAAGCTGTCATTATTCATTTCTAATATGATATTAATGCTTAAATCTCCTAAATTAATGTGAATCTCAGTTGCACACCTGTGTTTGCATATCCTCTTTGATGGGCTCTGAATACTTAAATGTAACCACTTAATTCTCCTGAGAACTGCATAAGGAAATCCTGTACTCCCTGTGTGACTGACTTTGCACAAAGACTATTTAACATGCTTTGAGAGCTGAAAATTACATGCCACAGGTAAAAAGCTTTGGTCTTTATCTAGTGACAACCAATAACAGCACAATCCCTTAAAACCTTTATTTTTCTTTCACTTTTTTTTCTTGTTTTCAACATACACAAGGCATAGAATAAACTCAAAACACTCTGAAAGTGTGAAATTTCTTCAATGTCTTTCTATTCACTGGAAAGAAGTTGATATTGACAACACCACTTTTGACAGTTCAACTAAAACATACTTTCCGAGAAAACAGAGGCTAAATTCTAAATTGTTTGAGCTCCCAGCACAACAACTTTGAGGGTGAAGCTATTAAAAGTAATTTATATGCCTTTCATTAAGATAGAATCATCATCTTCAAAATTGAATCAGTTTTGTTTTTAAAGAGATATTGCTATCAAAGTTTAAAGTGCCTGAACAGCACAAATCTGAAACCATTTATTTTCTAATGCAATACCAGCAGCAATAAAGCTGTTTAGTTTAAAGCTGTTGGTATTGCATTAGAAGGTAAATGAAGATAATAAACAAATTAAGATCGTTACATGGCCAGATACCACAAACTAGACTTCTCTCTTACTACTTGCAGTCAAATAACTAACTGGAAAAGTGTCAGTTTTTAAAGGCTCCAGTAGGGTCTCAATCAAAATAATCATCTACAAAAGAGTTTAAAATTAATTAAAATATACAAAGCTTACAACAAGGGAACCATATGAGGCTGCCATTTTATACCATGGTTCAAATACAAATAACAGCTCACCACCACCAAAAAACAGTGAGAATGAGGTCCATCACTCCTGCTTACCCACTTGTATTCCTGCTTTGCATTTACCCTTTTCCTTTCTTGACATTTCAGTCAGTACCATAAGTACTACTTCCTGCACGTGATGGAATAAAGAGGTGGGATAACATTTCAGAGCAGCGAGTGTTAAATCATTAAGTTGTTGAGTACTAAAGCATTCCAGTTGTGTGAGCAACTTCAGTCCAAGCATCTTCTACACTTACCAAAAAAACAGATTGGCCAAAGCTATTTCCAACAACCAATTACAACACAGTCTGTAAGCAGTTCAAGAAGAGCATCTCAAGGATGCATTCAAATCAAACTTGCAGTTTTTTGAGAAAGTCCAGGTCCCAGTGGCTTCTCACACAAATACTGAAGTTGAATGGACTGAGTAGCAGCAGGAACTGTTTTGTAAAAGCCCTAAATCATCTCAAAAACTTAAGGTTTCAGTCTACACAGTTTTGGTATTTCCAAAGTTTTTCATTAAGTTGGTAAAAAACTGCAGTGAGTTTAAGTCAAAAGGGAAAAAAGCTTTGAAGCCAATTCTAAGGAGAACACAACAACTGTGGAGTAAGAGCATTTACAGAATTTTGAAACCAAGTTATATTCTCTATAGTGTGTACTCAATGGGTGAAATTCAAATTGCTTCCTAAATAAAAAGATAAAACATTGGCTGTATTTAAAATGTTTGCATACAACTAGGCATTTGTACGGAAAAGAAGTTGGTGGTTGCTGGCCCTGCCTGTGATGGGGGAGTTGGAACTTGATGATCCTTGGGGCCCCTTCCAACCCAAACCATTCTATGATTCTCTGGTTCTGTGAAATTAACGCAAAATGAACCTCTTCAAGGTTTACAAAATGGGGTGGAAACAGAATGAACCGAAGACAGCAAAAGTTTCCTTTTATCCTATAGCAATGTAGCAACAGAGAACAATTGGAGAGGATCCAAAGGAGAGTCAGGAGACTGGAGCATCTCCCCTGCAAAGACAAGCTGAGGGAGCTGGGCTTGTTCAGCCTGGAGAAAAGACGACTGCGGGGTGAAAGGCGTTGCAGCCTTTCAGTACCTAAAGGGAGCCTACAAACAGGAGGGGAATCAACTCTTTGAAAGGGTAGATAACTGCAGGACAAGGGGAAATGGTTTTAAGTTGAGGGAGGGAAGATTTAGGTTGGATGTCGGGGAAGTTCTTTACTATGAGAGTGGTGAGGTGCTGGAACAGGCTGCCCAGAGAGGTTGTGGATGCCCCGTCCCTGGAGCTGTTCAAGGCCAGATTGGATGGGGCCCTGGGCAGCCTGGTCTAGTATTAAATGGGGAGGTTGGTGGCCCTGCATGTGGCAGGGGGGTTGGAGCTTCATGATCCTTGAGGTCCCTTCCAACTCTGGCCATTCTGTGATTCTGTGAAGGTAACAGCTTACCAAGTGCCCAGCACCAAGAGGAATAACTGTATGCAAGTTAGACCCTCAAGTTTCATCACTTGCTAAAATATTTGGATTATACAAACATCAAGTCCTATAATTTACATTTATGTGTGGGTATAATGTTTGTGTAGTGCTAAAGCTTACTTAACTGAGTATTACTACTACTTGTTTTAAAATTATACACAAATTCTTCAACTATTGCATCTAATACTAGCTTTTAAAACTAAATGATAGCTTTGGTTACACATCTATACCTCCAGCAAGTTCCATAACACGCACAAACAAGCAGAATCCAACTGATTTTAGCATGCTTAAACATACAACCATGTATACAGATACACTTGCACAATAGAAGCCTATTATTTTCACCCATATTGAGAATTATGCAGTAAGTTACATTCCTGAAGAATTTCATAAGTTCATTCTTTCATTTTAATGTTCTTAAGAGTTAAGTACTCTCTGAATCTGGGTTCTATGATACCACCTATAACCTTTTGTAAATACTGTTTGTTAACTTGCTTTTGTAATTACAGTTTTCAATTAAGTGTTAGTTAATGAAGTAGACCAAAGTTTCTCTTATTCCAGCACCAAATTACACCATTTAACCCTCATTTCTGCAAGTTCAGAACAACAATTTAACAACAGTTCTCCAAGTTTAGGAGTTACGTTTGTTTTGGATCTTTTTCAAAGTACACATTTCATGTTTAAAACAGAAGAATTAAAACCACCTTAATGACAATTTAAAAAAGCATCAGGCACGCCCTATGTGATACAGATCCAGAAAGTAACACACTTACAGCTTCAAATGATAAGTTAACATGATCCAAGAACTTCTGCCTCAGGCCGTCAGTCAGTTCGTGGAAGCGATATCGAAATAGATCCATTTCTTGTTGAAGAAACCAACGTCTGAGTTCCTCACTGCAGAAAAATAACGTAAACAATCATGTTTTCTGATTATGCATTCTCCATTCTCTCACCACCATGTAGATGCCAAACCCTGTGAACACAACTTGAAATGCAAGTCTGACTTTGTCATGGAACCCACAAACTAAGAAGCTTGGAATAGAAGGCAAAGAACCTTCAGAAAGGAGAGGTTAAATAAGAAAGGATACTGTAAAAACAGCACTGTACATTAAGCAAAGAACAGACTGGAATCAGCCTAGAGAAAAAATGTGTACTTCACTGAGGTTCAGTGCCATACAAATGCAACATCTAACACATGACAAAAGAAAAAAAAAAGAGTTTAGCAGCTGCAGATGAGCAAGGAGAACCACAAACAAGAACACAAGGACAAAATATCTACTCAAAATATAGGTTGGAAATGTAAGTAGCTCTTATTCAAATTACAGTTTCAGACAGAAAGGCTTTGGTAAAGTGTTCTGTAAAGTATAGCCCTGTGTACTGATAGATTTGTTACTATAGATGTATCGATAATCTATGCAACCTATGGAAGGTGATGAACAAACTTCTGCAGTTCCTCTGTGGTCATCCTGGCCAGTAACAAAATTCTATTACCAGACAATTTTACTCTTGTCCTTTACGTTGAATTTGTTTCCCTAAGCAATAAAGAAATAAATAATGATATCAAGAATATGGGATGCCAGGCAGTCTCTGGTTCTGCCTTTCCTCTGGAAGAGCAGATCAAAGGCTGTAGTACCCACTTACCCACTTAAGGTACCTAAGCAAAGACACACTGAACTTATCTCTAACATAATACACTTATTTACCTAGATTGTTCCTATAGCTGACAGACTGACTTAAGAGATTGCTTACACGAATAACATTACCATACCTATAAAGCACACACTTCAAGATGAACATTTATGGAAACATCATCTTTAAAGCATCAATCTTTTCCTCACATAACAGGAAAATTGTACTTCATTTCCAAATCCAAATGACTTACATTCCTTATTACCACTTAGAGAAACGTACATTCTCATTACAGAAACACATTAGCAATAACATTTATTATCAAAGCCACAAGTTTAAGTGAAAAGCAGTGTTGCTGTGATCACATGGTGAAGCGAGCTGCTATAGTTGCAGGTAGCTGAAATACAGAAGTGAGGAACACCTCCCACCTTTTTTAATTGAATACTCAATTTTCTGTTTGTGAATCTGATGGTCTAATTTAGTATGAAAAAAATAACTCCTGCATACACATAAAGAATCCTACTCATCCCACAGGAAGTGTTAAGAAAAACAGATGTATACTGATGCTTCAAAGTAGATACAAGTACTTTAGAAAGACTTGAAAATGCTCCTAGAGCTAGCAGATCACTTTCCACCATTAAATATCAGCTCAGTTACCAACCCCTTCAGTCAACATGTGAAGTCAGAGCATGGGCCAGAATTCTATCTTGCTTGGCAGCCAAAACCAGAAGATTGCAGAAGGTAAAGGAAAGGCCTGCATTTAATAGCTCATGTTTATGTTGTGTGACAGAACACAAAAAGTAAACTTTTGTGCTGACTGAAAAGATTTTCACTATCAGAGAAAAGGCAAAGATTTTCTCTTCCATGTTAAACAGTTAACATGAAGTTTATGCCCTCACACCTGCTGAGGTTCTTGCTAGCTGAAAAAGTGAAGAGAGCTGCAACAGAAGCAGAAATGCATGGTCATGGCCTGCATACAAAGTAAAGTTCTTTTTATAGCTGTGCTTGCCATGGAAGTGAATGAAACAAGATAATTCTGTTTCTTGGTCTTGCTGGATATAAGTGATGTTAGAGGTGTGTATGAAAGGTACGAATGAATCTGTTCACTCAAGATTGCACAAATCATATCTTAGGAACGTTACACAGGAATAAGTTTTAAAGCCTTGGATTTCAGAATGCAGAAGGACAGCGAAAGGTTACGACCGTGTTACCAGTTCAAACAACAACAACGTGCAGCTGACTGCTTCATGCCATTTTGGCCATGTACAAATCAGTACAAAACAAAATCCACATTATGAGAGGCATGACAGAGAAAGAAGCTGATGAAGACTTGTACCCCTGGGTGGCACTGTTGGACTGCTAGAAACAAGTGGTGTAGCAGAACAGGCCTGTCAACACCCCCTCTGCCAAGCCACTGGAAACTGAAATCAAGCAACTTTGCAGCTATGTTAAGCACACTTTTCAAAGACTGCTATCTTAGCAGCTTTCACCACCTAATGTAACAATTTGTGCCAGGTTCATTTTTTCTACCTAATACAATACAATCGTGCAGAACTAGGTATTTATTCTTTTTGACAGATTTATCTTTTGGGGAACATCTGGCTTTAGAACGTAAGAATATTTCATTTCAGAAATAGCCACTCCTCAAAAGAGAACACACACTTTGTACTTGCTAGTTTTAACTATAAAAGCAGGACTGCAACGGCAAGGAGTCAGGATAATGCACAACAAAGCTGCTAACAGACATAAAGCACTGACCACCTCTGTAACTTCATCCAGAGCCTATAGCTGAAACTGAATGAAAGCACTTGGCAGGACAAACAACATGCCTTAGATTTCACGTGACTAAATAAATAAATAATTAAATATCAATTACTTTAAAAGAAAATAATAGTCAAGGGAGAAAACCCCAGATTCAGTATTTTTAGTTTCTGAGAAATAAGGCTTTCTTTAGACAGTACTACAAAGCGTATTCACATAATCAGGTTATTCTCTTCATTTGGTCAGTAAGCAACAGCTGACAGAGAAGTTCACTTAAATTTTCTGTAATTGGGTAAATCAATGACTGACAAGACCTTTTGATTTCTTTCTTGAAAATAAAGAAAGAGACTTATATCAATGCTCCATGCACAAAATCAACAGTTTCTATATTACAAAACTTTAAAAATAATCTGGATATTAATTTTGATCCTGAATATCTCTTAACATCAGAGTTGAAATTAAATTTCCAGCAAAGTAAGCCTCTACTTGAACCTACCTTTATGTTTAGTAGCCAAACAGCCCTATACAAACTACAGTAACACATATATACATACACACACACTTAAACTTACTAATAAGATAAAGAGTAATCCAAAAAGTACTTACGACTGACAGTAAGCAAGGCGCAATATGAAATGAGAAATATGGTCCTTTCTTCTTGCATCATAATCATCCTCAGCCAAAGCCTACAGAAAAATTTATTATTTCAGAGATCTGATCCCCCCAGGATTAGAAATCCACAGTTCATTCACCTGTGCTGTTTCACATCATATTAATACTTACATCTATAACCACAAACACAGGACTATTAAAGAAGCAGACTGCCCAAAAGAAAGAAAGACAAATCCTGACAAACTGGCAGAATTTAAGCTTTAGGAATAGTAATCTGTGCAGAATTTCTGAAGAGTGTACAGAAAATAGAGTGCAAAAGAAATAGTTCCTTGTTTTCATTTATACTTACTCTGTAGGGAAACTTAAGTCTCCGGAGCTCAGCCTCCAGCTTAGTTTTGTACACATCACCACTTTTTACATAGCTCACACCAAGGTTTTCAACTACCTTGAGCACTGAAAGAAGGAAAAAAAAAGTCCATATAGTTACAATATAGTTAGTTGTAGTCCATAGAGTCACAGCATGCAGGTAGTGACAGGATGAGGGGAAATGGCTTTAAACTGGAAGAGGGTAGATTTAGACTAGATATCAGGAAGAAATGCTTTACTGTGAGGGTGGTGAGACACTGGAACAGGTTGCTCAGCAAGGTTGTGAATGTCCCCTCCCTGGAGGCATTCCAGGCCAGACTGAATGGGGCTTTGAGCAACCTGGTGTAAAGGGAGGTGCCCCTGCCTATAGTAGGGGATTGGAACTGGATGATCTTAAAGGTCCCTTCCAACCCAAACCATTCTATGATTCTATGATTACATATTGAAAAGAAATCTAACTCTATCATGACTTGAAAAAAGGATTAAATACAGGCCATGCAAACTCCTGTTAGCAGCACGGGGAGCAAAAGGGTAAGAAGTCAGGAGGACAAAGCATGGCCCAATTCATCCATAGCCCACAGGACCTATCATAGAATCATTAAGGTTAGAAGAGATCAGCTAATCCAACCACTGACCCATCACCGCCATGCCTATTATGTTGCTCAAATCCAACAGCTCACCAGCCCTGAAATCCAGGCAGGGAGCAGAGCAGGGAGACACCCAACGGACAGGTCAGCCCCAGAGCACCCAGTTACACTGCAGTGACAGACCCGCATTCCGTGGCTCTCTAGGGGCACTGTTCCCAGCCATGAACTCAGTGCCTGCACAGAGAGACACCCAATCGAGATATCCAGAGACAATGAAACACTCTCATGAAAAACAAGGTTATAACCCAAAACCACACAATTCTGACTGCTATACACTGAAATTGAACTGTGAAATCACTCAGAGCTCTCTGAAATAGCTACAGCTACAAACTCTCCTTTAACAGGCCTTCATTTTAACACGAGGGAGCTGCTAACTTAAATCAGCAACAGGCAAAGGGCACCTAGGCCAGTCCAGAACACAATCTGCTAGAAAAATAAAAGCTTCGAGACGTCTGGACCGGAATAGCACATTTAGGCGGGCTCCCAGGCCGAGGGCTGCCGCACACTACTTACGCCTCAGACGGTCCACGGCGAAGCTCTCGAACTCGACCAGCGAGATGCTCTCGGTGGGTGGCTCCTGGTAGAACTGCAGGCTGTGGGGGTACGGCTCCCGCCTGTCCCCCGCCAGCCTCAGGTGCCGCGCTCTGCTGCTGAACTCCATCTGCCGACAGGGATGAGGAAAACAGAAAGGGGCGAGGTGGTCTGAAGGGTCACACAAGACCCCGCCAGCCCCAAGCCAACATCCCGACCCGCTCCCGCGCACCGGCAGCTCTCCCCCTTCCCGCGCAGCGGTCGCCCCGCCTACTTCCGGCTCGCTTACTTCCGCCCTGTGGTACCGCGCCCCCAGACACGCCTCCCTGCCCCGCCCCGCTTTTGCCCACAAACAACATGGCGGCTGCGCTCACAGGCGGCCATGTCGTCTGTGGGCTCTCCAGCCGCGGAAGGAACTCTCTGGTAGTTCTCCCAGCACCTGCAGCGGGAAGGCTGAACCTGCAGTTCCCGAGGCTGCAGTGAGGCACAGCAGGGCGTAGCCCTTGGTCTGACTGAACTTCATGAGGTTCGTGCAGGCCTTCCTCTCAAGCCCTTCGTGGTCCCTCTGGATGGCATCCCTTCAGTGTGCCAGCTGCACCGCTCAGCTTGGTGTCATCCTCAACCTGCACTCGGTCCACGTTGCCGACAAAGATATTAAGTAGTGCTGGCCCCAGTGCTGACTCCCGAGGACACCAGTCATCGCTGGTCTCAGCCTGGATGTTGAGCCATTAATGGCAGCGCTTTGAATGTGATCAGCCAGCCAGTTCCAGCTAGTGTTGGAACCAACTAAACAATTAGAAGTTGGTGGATTGTCGTGTGAGAAATTCAGATTGCTAACGGATGGACAATCAGAACTGGCATTCAGGTTATGCCTACAAAGTCAGGAAAATCCGTGTCTTAGGCTAGCAACCCACTCCAATTACTCTACAAAATAAGGCAGCCACATCCAAATTGCTGTGAGAGTAGTGCTGTGCTCATGCTACCCAGAACGAAGTGTGCCACTTGCTCTGGGCCAGGCCTCTGCCAGGGATCATTTGGACAGTTTGAACAGATCCAGGTCTGTTCTCTGGGAGAGAAGAAAAAAATAAAAAAACTATTTTTCTGTATATTTTTCTGTTTAACTCAAAGCATCTTTACTTAAATAGCCAATGTTCATATCTCCTTTTTTTTTTTTTTTTTTTTTTTTTTTTCCCCTTTCTCTGTATGCCACTAATGTTGCTCTGGAGTAGGAGTAAACCTGCCAAAATCCATCCAGACATTGCCAGAAGGGAAGAGGTTTTGCCACTGTCTGACTGCGTTGTTTGATACCCAAGAGCTGTTGTTCAAACTGTCAGTGCATGGTCCAGGACAAAATCAAGGAGAAAAATGAAGAGTTTGCACATTTTCTGAGTGCTGTACATGACCAGGACAGGAGGGGGGGAGTTTAACAATGCTGAGAGACCCTCTGGAGAAATTAATTTTAATTTTAATTTAAAATGATGTTTTAGGGTTTGGCATGTAGGCGGTGGTACCACCACTGCCTGCACTGTCTGTCACTATTTTTTCTACTGAGCATGTCCTGCTGCTTTTTATGAGTCAGCAGTTACATCTGTGCCCGCCGTTTTTTCCTTTTTTTTGTTGTTTTTTTTTGTGTTCTTGTTTTTGTTGCATTACTAATTTTTTTTTCCCATCTAATGCTGAGTACTGATCCTCAGTTGTCTGAAGTTAGGTAAAAATGTAATCTGCTTTAAAAAAAAAAATCACTTAACTGTTTCCACATACATTATTGCAGCATATTGTCATAATAATAAGCATCTCTATTACTAAACTCAAATAAATCTTGTGAGAGGGCTGCCAGCTCCTTCATACAGAAATCCTTTTCTTGGGAAAAGGAAGCAAAGAAAGAAAAATATATCACCTTGGGGGAAAACTCCCCAAACCGCTATTCAGTAGGTGTCATGACCCAGACTTTCCTACTGACTTACCAAAACCCATACACAACTGACAGTTTTCACAATAACATTTTACTTTTACCATTTCTATTTTCACCATTTCCACAGCAACATTGCCAGTAGACTCTGACTTTAGAAGTGTTTTTTAACAGAATCGCTGGTGTTCCAACTACCCACCTCACAAATGTTTTACAACATCCATATGGCCAGCTGTCAAACTGTCCCCACCACCCCAACCAAACACAGTCCGATCCAACGTACCTCAAACTCCTAATGTTGTGCTACCTAATTAACAGAAAAACAAAGCCCTTATTTTGCAATAAACATGATTGCACATTATCTACTCCCCTGTTGTTGTACTGATTAGCAGTGTCCACAGCAGCGCTAATTCTTTGGAGCCCAGTTATTTTCTACTTGCATAACTACAGCTGTTAAGAAGGTAAATATGGTGTTGTCTCTTTTTCAAGCTACCCCGTGATCTCACTATGTCATCTCACAAGGATGCTTGGAGCCCTTATGGTTAATTTATCCTTAATCTTATTTACTGCTTCTATCATCAGCTTGAGTGAATTCTCATATAATATAGTCACTATACATATTGTTCTCATAACTTGTTTTCTTGATATTTCAATTTCTTCAAATATTCTTCAAATATTTGAATATTTTTAAAAGTTATTGTTTACTGAGTCTTCAGATTTCTCCATCTTGTAGCTCAGTTCCTTTAGTGACCTGGCTTTCACAGACACCCTAACTGCCTTAGTGCTGGAGCGTATCTCTGTCCTTACTGGCCCACCCACTCTTTGTATGACTGTTCTGCAGTAACTTTTTCTGCTTTATGCTTTTTATTACTTTTTTAAATATTTGCCATCCAGGTTATATTGAGGTTTTTTTCCTGACAGTGATAAGCAGACACCTTTCTGTTAACTATAAAAAAATGGCAAATGTTCTGAGCTGGCCTTTAAATTCCTTCAGTTTCCAAAGTGAGCAAGGCATGAATCATGCACTGAAGAAAGGCTCAGGGGGCTATTTTGGTCAGAATACATTCTTGGTCTCTCAGCATTAATATATTTAAGTAGAAGTAATGATGGTTACATCCCTTATGACATTCTAAGTCAATTATCAGAGCTTTTGGATTAAGGATTGTGTTCCCATATTGCCTGTCCAAAACTCTAGTACATAGGTGGAGGAAATCTAGATACGTCTCACAGTCATCTTAAATTTATCCTGATAGGTCTTCTCACTGCATGCATCTTCAGAACACTTAGGCTGCTGTGGTGAACAGGGTTACCAGCCCTATGTTCTGTTAGATATCTTGTTTTCAATCCCTTAGCATCATTTTTCAGGGTACTTCTCAGGGAAGGATCTGTCCTGCCCCTGTGCAAGGCTTTTTTGGAAGTACACCATTCTTATACACTGTTACAAGATGGTCATGTGCTTTAAATATTTTTGCCTGACGTCCCGGGGCTTTGGGGTCTGTTTTGTTGTGGGTTTTCTTCCTCTGACAATTCTTGACTATTTGATTAATGTTAGAGAGAGGCTGAAGCATCAAAGATAGGACATTCCCAAAATCAGAGAAATTAGAGCCTGGAAAAAAGGAGAGAGAGACCGAAATTCCTACCATGTGAAAGATCAGCAGAACTCAGCTACTTTCCTGTGCAGAGCAGCAGTGACCAAGCAGTTAACACAAACATCCTGCCCAATCGCCATAAATACAGCTTCAGCTCATCCACTGCATAGTTGTTCCTAAACAAACAGACAAGAAGATTTGAAAAATAAAGCATCAGAGTTTAGAAAGCAGATTAATTTGTAGACTGAGCGTATTCTGCTGCACATGGATCTTCTCCTTCTTTTTCCAAGCATAACACACCATATTTAAATGTGAGCTTCTGAGATGTGGAAACCAGTTTTTCAGTCTGCCTACCCATGTGGATATTGACATTTTCTTTTCTTGGAAATTGTAACCACTGAACTAATCTACAAGAAGAAAATGCATTTGTTACATGTAACACATTTGCTCCATTTCTAATACTCTTTTGAGATTAATCCATTTTGTACCTGTACAGTAGTAAAGAATGGGATCCTCTCTTATCAAGTAATCTGTAAGTAATTGAAAAATATCATTAATTCCAAAAATACTGCTATCCAAAATAAAACGGTACCATGTGAAACTTATTCATGTGTATGTATCCAAGATTTCAATCATTTTTAAACCATATAAAACATTAATTATAAGGACAGAGAATAATACAAAGAAGGTTTAAAATATTTTTATAAGGAGAATCGCTACTGTCTGAAAATTTCAAAGTATGACTCTGTCTGTAGCAAAGGAAACTCACCGCTGTTTAAGAATTTTCTTTTGGGTGTTTATTTAGGGGTAGTGAATAACACAGACATGGCCAGACAGATTTCCCATTTTGAGCTTATGACCTGATCATGAAAAAATGTTCTATTCAGTACTGACAAATGCTGAGTTTTCTAATGCCCAGTTGCTGTGCAAAACAGTCTGTAAAATTCCAACCTAACCATAATTGGCAGTTGTGTTAGGCTTACCAGGAGCACTTCCACTGTTACAAGTGGAAGCCCCAAAAATAAACACCAAAGGAGACAGGGAGATCCAGTGTGCCACATCTAGAGCCACTATGCCTGCACCTATCTTTCAAGATCTCCTTTAAAAAGGAGTCATTGCCTATGGGACTATTAGAAATAGGTAAGTGCTCTGCTGACCTCTAAAAGGACATCCAGTCTGCATAAATTTATGTGCCTGGGTAGCTGATTTATTTTCCTTTTGTTTGCCTCATTTATTTGTTTGTTTTTTGTTTTTGTTGTTGTTGCTGTTTCAAATGCAACATTGATGAGGCACATTAGTGAAAACTTAAACGTTATTGCAAGTTTTGGGAAAAGATTCTCCCTTACATGAAATAGTAAGTCCTGTTCTCTATTATGAGTTAATACCAACATAAGGAGTTCAAGGTAACTCTCATATTTCTCATGCAAGCACAATTCCAAATTAATTGGAAGCTGTTGCAGGCAAACATGCAATATCAAGATAATGAGCATACTAGCTAATTCTTTATCCACCTTCCTACTAGAAACAAAATACTTGCATCACTTTGTCTTAGATTTTAGGATTTTGTCTTTATGTTACTTCTGTTTTATTATTGCCTCACCTTTGGTTGAGTGTCTGTGGAAATGGTGTTCAAGAAGCCACGCTGACTAGTTTACCAAAAACCAAACGTGAAAAGTTCAAATAAAGACCCCTCTCCCTACTAAATATTCCCTAAAACTGCATTGGTTTGACTGGAAACAGAATCAAGCCTCAGAACTTAAACTTGAATCCCCACCCTGCAGCACTGATGACATCAGTTCCTACTGCAGCTCTCCTTGAAACTCAGAGCATGCTGATAAACTGTTGATTTATTTTCAGACTGCTGAACCAGAATAACTCTTGGCAGCAGTATCTTGGCAATCTTTCTTCAGACAATTTACATGAATATGTAGAAATCTCACATGCATATTGTTGTCTGGAAAACTGCACAGTACCATTGCAGAAAACAAATAAATCACTTTGAAATAATCAGTAAAAATTGCCCACAGTATAGCCACAACAAGTAGAAGGGACTACTATGCTTACACTTGAAAGGAAGACACAAAGTGTATCAGTTTCACGGTTATTAACAACATAGAGCTTTCAAAATAAAGCATTAGACTGTTGAACACCTCATGTTTTGTAACAAATCCAGCAACAGTTCAAGGGCATGAGCGAGTCATAATCTAAATGAATCCAGTTGCTTTACGGTATACTTACATTTCAAATGGGACTGAGGTACTATTATAAAAAGCAGTTGTTTTTGTTTTGTTTTGCTTTTTTCCTAGCAAAATGTCCCAAATGCTTTCAACAGTGAATGCATTCTCTTTATAGATAAAGTATTTTAACTTACCTACATGGGTGTCTGAATGGTGTTACATGCTTCAGTGTGTATAGTTTTGCATCCTCAGTGAAATGCATACAGTTGATCATGGGCACAAATGATGGCAGATGTGTAATTAAATACTGAGCATGGAGTACATGTGCAAGTATTGAGCACCTCACAAATTCATGACAAATATAATGACCTCTGTGATAATCTGATACTCCATTCTGGTGTTCTTCATGCTCATGTTGATGCAGTGTACAACCACCATCTCAGAG